CCTCTCTCTCTCTCTCTCTCTCTCTCTCTCTCTCTCTCTCTCTCCCTCTCTTGACGCGACACCCCCGCGCACACTCACACGATTTGACCCAACAGCAGTACCATATACTTCACAATCTCTCTCGCGCGTGACACACGACCACTCCCGTGTGCACTCACACGGCTTCCGGCAACAGGGGCAGCGGGGCGTCGTGCTGTTGAGGTACTGCCGGATACAGAGAGAGCAGAAGGTCTGCTGGCAACACGGCAGAGACACCGGCGGGTCCGAAAGCCCACGGCAGATCGCGCTGACGCACATAACATCATGACCGAAGAGAGAAAGGTATCGCGGCGACGGTGTTATGTGACAGGACGCAGAATGTTTGATGAGACTAGGCCATCGCAATCCGTGGGGAAGGTAAGAGGGCCATCGTTGGTCTGTTGACACGTCGGGGAAAGCGAAAACAGGCGGGGTTTCGTGATGGACCGATCGTATCTGGTGGGGAGGGCGTCAAGAGGCAAGAGGATCGTTCGAGGCAAGCGTTAAGAGCCAACAGGGCCGTTGGTTTGTGACGCGTTGGAGAAAGCGGCAAGAGGATTGTCGGTCTGTGACATACTGGCGGCAACTGCGGCAGCAGTGCTCCCTCCGCTTAATTCCAAGTCTTGACCACATCCCTCTCGACTGTGGTTATCTCTCGAATGGGTAGTCTTTCTGTGTGGTAATGTATACCCTCTACGAAAAATAAATGACGGCAACGAAACAATCTTGTGACGAAATACTACGTTCGGTGTACTGAGCACTAGAAACGGATCTCCGGAGATCTGGTCGAGCCTTTGAAAAGTCGGTCCAATGGGTGTGATATCTTGCGTTACCAACGGTAGGTGCATGTGAGTCTTGTCCCCGATGCGCAACTCGGCAAGTACTTTCCCTAGGTGATGGGAGCTGTATTTCTTCTCCCGAATCATTCTCGGATGATTGTGGTTCTCTGGAAAGAGCTGGTACACAATCTTCAAACAATCGCCACGGTTCAATCCTTGGTGACCATCACGACTGAATACAACCTGTAGCAGTACGAACATATGTACAACAACATGCCATCTCGAGGAAAGCGTCACCATACAATGGTTGGTGGCATGCGCGGTCTACGGATGGCAGCGGGCATCCGGGTGTGTGTGTTTACGATGAACAGCCTGCCCCGACTATCAGCTCGATGAAACGCTTTCCACCCTATCCAAGCGAGTTATTGCATAGGTCAAGCTTCTACGTGTAGAGGTGTACGCGTGGCTTCTTCCGTCTGCCCTATGCCCGAGTCTGCAGCGGCATCTCAACATGAGGTTTTCTCCCCGTCCCTGCGTCCAGACGCACTCTTGTAGGCTATTCCATAGAGCGAATCCGCTCAAGTATGTTATTACCGACGTGAAAACTTGAACAAAGAGACACTAGCAGTCGTTGCAAACACAACCCGTGGGTAGCAGCATCATATGATAGGAGTGGGAATCTCACGACAGAAACCCAGTGCACAGGCTGGCACTATTAAAATACGTTAGTTACAGCCGCGCTCGCATTTGGTAAAAAGGAGCGGGGCGGGCAGAAGAAAGCCATTCGAGTCGCTGTACATGATGCTCTTACCAGCGAAGGATACTCTCGATGGAACCCAACACAGGCCCGAGGCCCGCCTTTGGGTACTGGTACACCTCGTCATCGTCCTCCTCGTCCTCTCGCTTCTCCTCGTCAGGACCAGCAGCACCCCCTCTCGTTGCAGACATCATGTTGAGCATGTCGCGCTGCTGCTGTTACACTACAATACTCGCCACTCCGAAGCTAAAGCCCGTTTCAGGGAGCAATTTCAAGAAGAAACGATCCGCCCCTTTTCACCAGCAAAGGACCCGCGAGCACCCGCTGACCGATGCCCAGCACTGCTGCCGTCTACTCTGCTTTTGGCGGCACCAACTTTTGAATTTGGCTCAACGAATTGGCAGCAAATTCAAACCGCTCCGCTGCTTGGTGGCGTTGATGTGCCCCGTCTCTATATCCGTCGGAGCCTACCGCTATCGAAGGAACTGTGCTGGCCTAGAGAACAAAAGTGCAGAGCTTCTCCATCGGGCGGAAGGTGGGCACGCCAGAGAGCGACAAAGAGTACCTCCCGGACTGCTCTGTGTAAATGCTGCTTGAGACCGGGGGGTAACGCAGAGGGCGTAGATTAGTATTTTTTGTAAGGGGGTGCGTTGTTTCCCTCTGGCCTGCTCGCAGTCAGCTGAGTCGGAGCAACTGCTACCGCAGGCAGGACACAGAGCGATAACTTCGCTCGAAGCCGGGTGATGATGGGCTTACGACGGACGGCCGCGCCGCGGCGACGGGCATGGTTCACGATTTTGACGCTGTTCTCTTTGCTGGCGCTTGGAGGCACTTCTGTTGCAGCGGAGCGTAGCATGGTGGGTGTAGAGCTCACCAAGACCGGAAGATTTCACCCACGGATGGATTGCACCACAGCAAAATCGCACAGCAACGCAACCAATGCGCACCGCACTCTTGGAAGTAGAAAAACTGCCTCATCTGGAGAGCTCGAGTGCGATCCTCTCCTTTTGCATCTCAGCTTACCGTCCCTTTACTGCCGCTTGCACAGCGCGCAGCAGCGGGCAAATCCAAACACCCGTCTGTGTAGCCCCCTGGTTGTTTGGCCAAGTTTGGTTTGGTCAAGTTTGGTCAATGTGGGCAACTTTGTGTGCGTTCTTCGCTCCCTCCCTCTCCCTCCATGTTTTCCCGTTCCACCATGCCTTGAACAAAGCACGATATGATGCGGGATCTCGAAAAAATCCGTTCGGGCAGTTGTTATGAGGGCCGTTTTATATACAATCGTGAACCGCAGTCCGTGTAGACCAGACGCATGACAACACACCCCCTTGACTGATATTCTAAGATTCATTTCTCAACAGCAAGAAGAGTGAGTCACAGCGCAGAAAACCGCGGCGTTGGAATCGTCTCGTCGAGAGCTTTTCGAAAATGTATCATTTCGTTTATGCATCCCCTTCGTTGTGAAGAAATCGAGCTTTGAAAATCGGTCCAGGGGGTTATCATCTTGTGTACTACAGGAATAGGCTGCAGGGTGCAAGAACAAATATTTACAATCTAAAAAAATGAATCCCTCCAGGTGCAGATTACATAACATGACTGCCAAAAAGTAGACGACGAATTTCGTCAGCACCTTGGATTGTTTTGTGATCGCAGAAAGATCGGGGGCATCCCTCGCCCAATAGAGAAAGACGTTTCGAGAGACCTAGACAGAGAGATCGAGAGACAGGCTAGCACGAAGCGGCTAATCCAGCCATATGCACAACGAGGTCGGCACCGTCCTCGTACTTACCTACCTCGTAAACTGTGGCGCGCGCGAGATAGAGCAGAGATAGCGTACACCAGAGCCAAAACAATCGAGTAATCGTGCTTGCTTGACCCGGCAACATACGTCACGCTACCTGCCGGCACAGCTAGGTACATATCCCCATACAACGTGCGGGAGACCGTTCACAACAGCACCGGTGTTAACCTGCAGGCATGGTAGCATCTTCCGACAGAGAATCCAACAATTATCTGTGCCGTCGGACCTCTCGTGCTGTTGCTCTTGGGCCCCTCACCAATCGCCCCCTGTGACCCCACCCGCGAAAACGCCTTCGACTTCCTCTCGAAACCCTCCAATCAGTCCGCAGGCTCTAGACGTCGCTCCCTTGAAAAGCTCCGAGCAGCCGGAGGCTCGAAGGGGCAGGCCGGCGGGGGGGCTGTCGTGGTCGTGGACGACACCAAATTCGACCGTTACATCACGGGAGTTCCACGGCAGTACGAGGCGGTTGTCTTCTTCACGGCCGCCGGGGCCAACTACAAGTGCACCAGCTGCAGGTTTGTCCGGCACGATGTCGAAGTAGCGCAGCTGCAGGCTTGCCCGGCGCGATGTCGAAGTAGCGCGATACCACTATCTATCAGCGCGAGGTCAAGTGCGGGAACCATTGTATCCCAGGACCGAACGATGATGACAGAAGCTCTCTTGCTTGATTATACGACAATGACACAGCGCACTCCTTCAGGTACATAGCACCACTGAACGCATGTGCGTGCTCTCTCTCTCTCTCGGGGGGGCCCGCACTCTGAACCACAACAACATACCCTCCCCACACATATATTTCCCAGGAGATCGGATCTCGCGCCCAAACAATATTCGTCGGCCATGGGCGGGCCTTCCGACTATTGGCCGCCGGCCGTAGGTGCCCCCCCCTCCCCCCAACCCACGGAATGGGTCAAGGTTGTAGAGGACGTATGGAAGGGGTTCGAAATCGACGAAGGTGAAACGCTGGAAACGGAGTGTCTAGAGGAATTCGAGGAGAAGAACAGAATCAAAGGAAAGAAACCGAGGATAAGGAGGGTCTAGGAGTGTACAGAATGTTGAAAGAAGAAACAGGGTTCAAGGATCACCTTCATGGACCAATTGATGCAGGGACAAAGCTTGAGGTCGAATTCAGGACCAGTGACATAGGATTTCGAGCACGTGGACGAAGACATAGGACGGTAGACGACGAAGACGACAAGATCAAATGTGCTTGCGGCTTTGAATGCGAAGACGTTGTTCATTTTGTCGCGGAATGTCCGTTGTACGAAAAGGAGAGGGAAGTATACATGACTGACCGATAAAAGGGAGGTACAGGGAGATGTTTGAGGCATGGAATAGAGAGAATTGTAGCTGTACCGGGGAGAACGAAGTGGTTTGGAAAGGCGGGAAGTGATATCGTTATGACAGATAGGCCAGGGCAGACAATTTTGAGCCACCTTTGGCAAAGTAGGAAGCAACGATTTGGCCATCGGTGATCCGTCCTGTGGGAACAATGCTCCGTCCTCTCGAGGACGCGTGGTCAATGGCCTATCCCCTCAGGCATGCACACATGAGAGTGCGCCCCCCCCCTCTCGGTTCCGTGTGCCTCTTGTCGTTGATTGGATACCGCCGACACGACGACTTGTGTTTCTCTGTGTCCCCGCGCTTATTGCTTTGTTTCGGCATTCAACACTCCGACGTGCAATTGTCGTCGTATCATCGGTTGCTAGTGCAGTGCTTCTGTATGGACAGTAGAAGCCATTTGTTTCGAGAGAACTTTTGGTGTCGTGTTTTGCCCAGTCGAGCCTCACCCTTGCGCATGCAGCACCTATGTAGTAGGCTGGGACCTCGACAAACGTGTGGCGTTAATCTCCTGTGTACACCTGCGCGCGTGACCCAAACGACAAGACAATTGTAAGCACGTCTTAGTGGCGAAGCCTTATCGCTGATTTCACAGCGTTAGAGATCGCTGACGTCAAGCGCGGTTGTCTTAGAAAATATACACAAGAACACAGAACTACCGCCCGTTAGAGACACAACCGCAACGACGTGCTGAAGTCTCTACAGTGAGTGGAGGGAAACCGGCTGGAAAGTGTGCTTGTTTTGAGGCTTTTTAAGCCCATACTTCTGCATTGGTTTTCTTCCTCTTTCGGATTCGCTTCGGCAGGGTGCACCTCGATGAGTTCATGACCATGGCAGAGTCATACCAGGCGGCGCGCGCCAACACCCCCGAGACTTTGAACGGCGTCGACGTCTACTTCTTCGTTGCCGACTTCGGCCAGAACCAGTTGCCGTTCCAAAGGGTAAGTCTGTGGTGATTTGCTTGCTTGCTCTGTGGGTGCGATCTACTTTGGGTTTGATGATGTTGGTACCTGTGTCCGGGGGGCGTCTCGAACCTGCCCCGTTTTTTGGGCGCTGGGCGCGCGGGGCTAACGCTTGTGCACTTCGGCGTACTTTTTCCCCACTGAGGGTCAGTTCTTGGGCGGTTCCGCGCGCGGAAGGCCGCCACAGTTTTGAAGAAATGTGAATCCTGTTCGTTTCCCCGCGCGCCTCTTTGCCCCCCCCCACAGTAGAACATATATGGAAGTGGGGGATCGAGGAGATTGCAGCAGTGGACCAGTACACATACCTCGGAGTAGAG